CGATGATGGAGAACTTTCACAGCCCCGTTCCACCACCGCTGCCGCGACGTCACGTCCGGTAAGATCATGATGATGATGATGATGATGATGATAATTTTGGTGATGTTGACGTGATATATAATTTTGTTTTTTATATTTTTTTTTTTTTTTTCTTTTTGATTTAATATGATTGGAAGTTATGGTATTGGATATTTGTCAAAAAGTGTGCGTAAGTGAAGGATCAAAGTGGAAAATGTGCGATTAAGGAAGGTTTTTCCTTGATGATCCAAGGAAGTGGTGGAAATTTCAGTAGGATTTCTTTCAAGTTGTAAATTCTAGTATGTGCTTCTGGGTATAGGGTGTAACAAGTGGATTATCGGTGAGTTTTAGGGATGGAATGTTTTAAGTGATTCGTGGGTGGATTCGTCGGTTGAGAGTAACGAAGAGAATAGGTGTTCCAAAATTTTGTTTTTAAATCGTAGGAAGTTTCGTGCTACAAAAATTTCGACGAGTTTCTAATGATTACTTTCCACGTGAAAATATCCACGTGAAGTATAAGTTAAGAAAATATAATTTAACTATTACGAATAATTTGCTGAAATGATTATTTTCACAAACAAATATTTTGTGCTAAATGTTTCGTGCTATCGGAAAACCTGTCAGAATAATTTTTCTTGAATAACTCGACATTTCAACGACGACGAATTTTTATGAATTTTCACGTACATATTTTTATAAGAAAATGCATTATATAAAAATAATAACTATTTTAAAATTTCTATGGATATTCTTAGGATATTTAAAGTAAAATTTTATCTTAATAATAAATTCATTGACATATTTTTAAATAAATGCATTTAAACATTTTTTTACGAAAAAATTATATTTTGTCGAAATAGACAAAATTTGAAACGCGTATCTAGGTAAAGTTAGAATCAAATTTTCTAATCAAATTTCAACAAATATAATATCACAGCGATTATCACGCAATTGTGATAAAATATTTAAAATACTTCTAATTTAATGAAGTTTTCCATGTATATCATTATTCCATTACCATAATTCATTGTATTACGATACATCGAAATATTCAAAAACTTTGGTTAAAACTTTTTTTCTATTGAATCGTAACTCGTTTGTTTCGTTTTAGTAAAATGTCCTATCTCTTCTCACGTCACGAAATAAACGACCGTTACTATTTCAAATACGTTACGCTCTCGCAATAGCACGCATACATACACGCTCACGCACTCACCCTCTTGCAGCTTCGACACAACTTAACGCCATCAGGTACACGGTAGCCTTTTTTTTGATTTAATCTCTTGCGTTATATTTTATTCGTCAAAAATTCAATTTTAAATCCAATATTAATTTCAAATTACAAAGTTCTGAACGATTAAATCAGCATAATATTTTTATGCATACATGCATAAAAAAAAATGATAAAAACTGGTATTCTGTATCTGGATACACGAGATATTCCTTTCCACACGTTTGCATCGACGTTAGGAAATAATTTATCGAATTGGATAAATTTCGTGATTTCATAAATAGATTCAACAAAAGTATTAAAGGTTTGCCGAAAGTATGAAAAGTTCTTTGGCAAATTCAGGCAAGGGAATTATCGCTTTTCTAAACTTCCAATGCCACTTTCATTTTTCCAAGGTGGACGGTTTTAAAGTTGAACGAAAAGTAGACGTTTAAACGGCTCCTTTTCGAAGCTGCTCATCGTCGCGGATTGCATCGACAAATATCGAGTTTAATCATCGTTTTCGATTTACGACGCGGGAACAATGGTATCCATCCGGAGAGCTTCATTTGCGTTTACCGGTATATTTACGCGTTCTCAGTTGCTCGGAATGGTGCAATTATAACGTGAAAATACCGATCAGTGATAATGTACGTGCTATTATTGTTGCGGTTATCGAGATTCGGGATGGTGAAACGTTACGTGAATGTATTAAAATCGTGAATTATTTTGAGGTTATAAAGGTTCGGTAGATTTCGATCTGGAATTTTGAAAATCTGTTTTTTTTCCCGATATATAAATTGCGCGTGCGTTATAAACATTCGAGATACTAAAAATTTTGATTAAAATTTTAAAAAATTAACCTTAAGATTAGAACAAAATGAATTTTGGAGATTATAATTTTTTGATCTTTTGTTAATTAAAAACATTCATTTGATAATGTTCTTTTTTAAATATATGAATTGTGCGTTATGCAAGAGATTAAAAATTTTAATTAAATCTCGAGAAAAATTAATTGTATGTAAGATTTTCAAGTAAATGAATATAGATTTTTATACATTTAATCATTATATAAAATATTTTAAAATATGCTCCGTTATTAATTGAAATGATTAATTTATGTGAATATTCTTTATGATAGTAGTGAAACTGTAAAGTAATGATTTCGCGCGAAATTCAAATTCGATATTGTGCCACGAGATTCCAAATATCTGGAAAATTCAGGCGAATGATTCGAATTCCAAGAGAGGATGAACAGAAATATTTTTATCAAATGCTTAAAGTACAGAGAATATTGAAATTCTTAAAGTATTAGATATTTTACCGAAGAATAGGCTTTTGTACTGTAGTCAAATCTTTCTTTTGCGCCATATCATTCGTTATCTTAAAGAATATTTTTCCTATCTCCACCATTTTTAATTAAATCGAAAATATAAATTTTCCAATTCACAAAATTAAGAAATGTATGTGAGCAAATATTTTATTTTATGGAATATCCAGATAATTCAATGCTCCCTTTCTTAACCAATCGTTTAATTATATCCAATCGTTGATTAAATAATCAATTTTTTTTTCATCGATAACCTTGGCTGTTCACCAAGTATAAACGGAAGCTCGGATGACCTGAACCAGTTATGAGAATGAATTCTCTACTTATTGAAAAGTTGATTTCTCCGCCGACTTTTTCGAATTGGGGATCTTGATAATAAACCGTTCCGATTTTTCACCGTGAAATTGAATCGTCAATTGTATCTCGAGTTTGATATTAAAGAGGTTGAAATCGCTTTTAATGATAATCTGATCGACAGATATCACACTCTTCTCTTCTTTTAGATTCTTTTTTACAAACGTTCAAAATTAAATAATTATCTTCTATATATATTCGATAAACTCTCAAACTATTAATTATCTCTAACGTAATTTTATTTCGAAGAAAATATGATTCAATGTAAATAATTTTCTCCTAGAAAATATTCTTCTCTTCTTTTAGATCCTTTTTTACAAATGTTCAAATTATCTTTCATATACTCAAACTCTCAAATTATTAATTACCTGTAACATAAGTTTATTTCGAAGAAAATATGATTCAATGTAAATAATTTTCTCCTAGAAAACATTCTTCTCTTCTTTTAGATCCTTTTTTACAAATGTTCAAATTATCTTCCATATACTCAAACTCTAAAAACTCTCAACTATTAATTACCAAAATTATCTTCCATATTTTCAATAAACTCTTAAATTATTAATTACTTCTAACATAACTTTATTTCGAAGAAAATATGATTCAAATCAAAATAAATCAAATCAAATATAAATAATTTTCTTTCAGAAAACATTCTTCTT